TTAGGTGCAAAACTCTATATAGGATCAGGTTCATTTGTACTAAACTTTAACAGTGTTTCGGTGTTTTATTCTGACTGCTTTGACGACTGGCTCTCACTGACTTGTAGTTTATGTAAAAGAAAATGCAATCATTGGGAGTTGTATACAAAAACACTGAACAAAACAAAACAAAAAAAAAATCAGCTTTATAATAGTTTTCATCAAGAAAACACCCATGTGAATAAAAGCCTGATGCATTCAAAGGCGTACAAAGAGAACTCCATCTACAATTAGAATCTCAAATAACCATTAACCCAAACAGTTTGTTTTTCACATAGTTTAAAGACAAAGCATATTTAAAAGAAACAAATGTAACCTAAGTGACTTTTTTTGTTTTCAGGAAATAAAAAAAAAACAATGTTTTTGGTTTTCCATTCCAAATCATTAACAGTTCTAATGTAAAATTAACAACACAATTTAGTTCTGTCCGGTCTAGCATAATTAACAGTTTCATCGTACCCTGTGGTTATGTGTGGGTGCAGTTGTGTAGGTGTTAATAGACTCGAGCAGCACTATGTGATAGTTGTGGCATGTACTTTGCAAACAGGCTTGTGTGGCGTGTTGGTGCTCATTTCCACCTCGCTTGGGAGCTGTGGCAGCAAGATGGCATCTGTGTTGTTCTCTTGGTTTTGCGTATATCCACCGCCAAACGAGCGGAGGCTGGTGTATCATAAAGGTACTGTTGTCTTCATCGGGTCGATGTAGCCTCGTTCACTAAAAAGAAACTCGTGGTGTGAAGCGTTCTCCTTTTTTCAAGGCTTATCCTCATCAGAGCCAGATTCCAGAGTAAGATCAAGTGCATCGTTCAGCTAGTCACTTGCCTGTGGATTCTGATTCCACAAAGTTGCATGTGAGCAAAACGGAGTCGAGTTGATCAAAGTGGCATCAAGCTGTGAATAAAACGTTTTGGTGATCTGTATTTAGTCAAGTCAAATTTATTTATAGAGCACATTTAGAACGGCAGCTGTTACCAAAGTGCTTAACAATAAGATCAAGGGAGTAAATAAGAAGTAACAAGATGTAATTAAAATGATCAAAAGTAAAAGCATAAAAACACAAAAACAATGAGAAACAATGAAATAGTCAAATCAAATTACTTTGTTAAACATACGTATGTTTTAGGAGAGACTTAAAAGCAGGAAGTGAAGTGGCCTGTCTAATGTTGGGGGGGGGCAGATTGTCCCAGTACGTATGACTGAAAAAGTCAGATCTCCTCTGAGCTTCAGCCAGGTTTTCAGTACAACCAAAAGCAGCTGATCAGATGATCTCTGTGCCCAGAAAGGAGGGCTGAAGTAGGTCTGAGAGGTATGAGGGTGCAAGGACATTCATGCACTTAAATGTCAACAGGAGAATCTTTAAATCAATTCTGACACGCACAGGGAGCCAGTGAGGGGAGGACAACACTGGTGAAATGTGCTCAAACCTATGATTTTCTGTCAACAGCTGAGCTGCAGCTCGTTTATACTCGTTTAAATGGTATGGGGAAAGGCCAAATGGAATAAATGGTAGCTAAGAGAAAAACAACAAACACATTTTTTGCCCTGATATATTGTAAACATGTTGGTCCTGTGAGGAGCAGCGTTGCTTTATTGTTTCTTTGATATTTTACCAGGAAACAAATCACAAAATAATTAAATACATATAGCACAGAAACCAAATTCTAATAAATTCACTGATCACTGTTGGACTTTATTTGTGTATTTTGAAACAAGCTGTTCCACTATCATGGAAACCGGTGCAAAGAAAACCCATTTATTAGAGTAAAGGTAAATCAGTCGGCAGAACAACAGGGGGATGAAATTGCTGTTTCATTTTCATGTATAACAAATGAAGGAAAACTATTATTTTTCTCCCCACCAACTTACAAGACATTTTTGACATTTTGCTTCATGCCCTTACATGCAAAACACCTCAGTGCATTATTGTCAAATTAATTTTGATAGCCGAGTAAAATGGTGTCTGAAAAAAAATACACTCTCCACATCATAACGCCATGAAAATAGGTTTTTGTTGTATGTGTTGCTCTCTGTGAGCTTGTTTTATGCCTCCAGGATTAGGTGTGGTGTGAAATCTGCAGGCGGGAGTTACGGCAAGAAGATAGAGCTTTGCCATTTTCTCTGCCTTTTTACTACTGACAATAACACGCATGTACAGAAAGGTGTTAGTGCTGTTTTGCAGTATTAAAGCTAAAACCACAGTAGTCGTGAAAAAAATGCTGGACTACTTAACTTACTCATATTTTGACATTAAAGTGATATTTTAGATCTTTTCAAGTGGGGTAGTTTAGAAAGATTATGATCAGTTAATATCTTACCTGTTGTAGATAGCTCTTTGGTTGACCCCAGTTTGCAGAAATACAAGTTAAATTTTACCAGATTGATGAGTTAACAGCTGTCTTAAAACAACTTCCATCTAAAAACTTAATTGAGGTTTATGTGACCTTTATTGTATAAACCTTCACTCTGATGGTAATTTGTGACCCGTCACATCAAACTGAAGATTAAATCCATGGTGGTATGTTGAGGGCTAAAGTGCATTGGTTGAAAATTCTGCCATAACTGGATTTTGTCAAAGTATGATGAATAAATACCTTATCTATGGGTCCCTTGAAGAAAAAGTCCAGGAGAAAATCCTAAAGAATATTTTGAACAACAAATAACCATGAATTTGAGCAGAAAAGCTTTAGATATTTGCTACATTCCCTGAGCGATAGTGAAGCTATTTTCAATACCAGCTGGGAAATCCCGATATCTAAATATGGTTTGAGGTTTCCTCTTTCAAATAATGTCAAAAAATCCTCAATTGAATATACTTTAAAAAAAAAAAAAAGCTTTCAGACAACAGCAGCTAGCTGTAGTGCTTCTAATACATCCCTGTGCATCTGTCATAAATATCCTATTCTGCATGAATAACCACGTGATGTGAAAACAATTCATTTTACAATAAAAACACAATAAATCACTTTATCACAATACCGTTTTTAAGTTAGTCACATGAACAGTGCCCATCTACCTAATACCTAATACATTTTTAGTCCCAATGTGTTCATGTTTTTTCAAATTGCCCTTTAAAATGTGCAGTTTTTCTTCATTTTGTTTTAATATTTTGCACAGTGTCCTTTAATTTTACATATATATTGTTTATTTTTGCTGAAATGAGCACATAATAAATACCTGAAGCCCACATTGCTCTTAAGACAACAAGCTTTCTAAACTGCCTCCACAAGTACCCGTTATTATCCCACCCTCATAATGGATAAGAAAGAACGAAAGAAAGAAAAACAGAAAGATAGAAATGCTTCTGATTATGCACCAAATTCCTTTTAAAATAATTACTAAAGTTGTTTGGGGCAAAGCTAATGAGTGCACGTAGTTTAAATCGCAATTTCAAAATCTAATTTTGATGGGATATTTTTTATTTGTATTGTTAATCTGGCTACCTGCCCAGGGTGTAGGATGCCCTGCCTCTCGCCAAATGTCAGCTAGGATAGCCTCCAGCACCACCCCCATCACTATAAATGGGTACAATGGAAGGCTGGATGAATGGATTATATTTTCAGTTCAAACGGCTCCAAAAAGCATGCCGCAGATTGTGCTCTATGAGAGCAATTTTGATTTATTAAAACAAACGGACAAACAAGACAATCTATAATGTGGGAACAAAAAAATAAAATAAAAAACAACAACAAAAAAACAAATCTTACACGAACATCTAGAAACAAAAATATATAAAAAGTAAAGATCTTGTAAAATTGTACAAAGGCTATTGGAGCATTTTTTAAAACGACCTCTGTCCTTGTACTTATGGCTGTATAACCTACCATAAGTACCTGTGTGGTCACTCATATCTGTCAAAAAGTGGAGAGGGAAAGGCTGTACGCCTGTCACCTTGGATGAACATCATCAGGGAGCACCCACTAAAGTTCAGCCAATAGGAGGAGGATGCATCTTCAGCACTGATACTGACACGAGCAAGCTGGCAAAGGGGCAGAGTTTTATGAGGCATTTATGTTTGATGTATTTCTGCATGACAAATTGGTGTAGTATGTGCAGCAGGAGTGCAACAGGGTAAATGTGCAATATAGAGATAATTCTGACTGTTTTCGTTCAGACCACACCACCTTGTAGGTACATCCTGTATGCACACAGTGTACAGCCTTTGTAGCAAGACATGCTGTGCATACAGGCAGAGAAATGACTGGTTAACATGCCCCAGGTAAGATGAAAAGCTAACTAAAGCACAGAAACAAAAGTGAGAAACTTTAAAGCAGGAACTGATGAAAAAAAGAAGCATTTAATGAAAATGACACCTAAAAGTGAAACAAACTTAATATAACGAGCATAAACTACATTCCGACTAATATCATCTCACCTGTTTTCGCTACAAATGGCAAAAATAAAATCATCTTGCTGAGTTAAAATTAGTCTTTCTTTCTAACACAGCCTACATCTGATAGAATTGTAAATGAAAAACATCACTTCCTCTGCACCAGATGATATTTTCCAGGAGAACACCTACGCAGGTTGTTGATAATACCAGAGGGAAAATGTTTCATAAGTAGGACAAATCACTCATTTGCTTTATTTATACAAAAAAAAAGGAAAAGGGGCTAATTAACTTTTCCATTGAACAATATTGTGTAGCTTCACATTAGAGGTGTATTATAATTGGCTTTAAGAACAAAATATATAAATCTTAAGAAAATAAAAGCAACATTTTATTAATTTTTTTTATTTAAGCCCGGGTGCTTTTTATTTTGAAAGGTCGTGTGACATCAAAAACAGCACGTCAGCAAAGATACTGTAGTTCGAAGTGCGATTCTAAAATATGACTAGAATCTGTTTGTTTGCTGTGTTTTAATATTGGTGCTCATCCTTCAAAATGTCATCTCTATTTTCCTCTGTGTTGTTTATACTTACCCCTGCAGCCTCCAATAACAAGTGTTTAACTGTTTTTTGCAGAGCAAGACAAATCAGTCCACTGCACCGATGAATGTCGTGCACTGGGACATTCTGACAGATGCTGGATGCCAAAGTTACGGGTAGGAAGCCAAGCAGACAGCGCAGATAATCGCACCAACCTTTTCATCCCTGTGGGAATGGATGCCATGGTAGAGACAGAGATTTATGGCACCATCAGCTGCAACAGCAGAAAAACTCTGACCACGTTTGGAAAAGAACAGCGGGACAGTACAATCCTTGTGGCCAATGTCAAACCTTACTTAAAATCGCAACGTGCGCTAAGTCCACCGCTACAAGAGAGTCCATCTGCATCTAGCAGTCCCACCAAGAGCAGCACGCCCCTGGACTTGGCCAACCAAGAGTCCAAAGAAGAGCGGAACGGGGCGTCGGACAGCAGTGCCTACGGCCCTCCAGATGGCCAGTGCTCCCCGCTGCACACGGAGCTGGAGGAGCCCTCCTACCTGACCTGTGAGCTCAGGCCCAAGTCTCTGTCAAGCAGTCTCATTCACAGCTCTGTCATCAGTCAGGAGTGCGGGGGGTCGGATTGCGCTCTCGACCCGAGGGACTCGGGTAACTGACAGGTGAGGCGATCGCCTGCCAAGCGTCTGACGACAATACGCAGAATTGATGACCAAGAGTTGATTTATTTTGAACCACGGAGGTGTTTGAACACGCATCGTATAACCAAAAACCATCCGCTTTCTATGTTTTCTTTTCCGTTTGTCCGTTTGTTTCGTTACGTTTTTAGTTCGTGACTTGTTGTGTTTAGGTGAACTATGTGTCCTTGACCGCTGTGAGAGTTCTGGGCGGGTGGGGAGGGAGGGTCGGGGGAGGGGATCAGTGCTTACCTGACTTCAAGTGTTTTCATGGTGTACTGTACCTGTCATTTTAGATGTCTGTATTTTACACATTTCAGACTCCCAATTTTGTGAGGCTATTGAACAAATTGCTACTGTTACGCTACGAGTCCCGTCTGCTTTTGTACAGTGACGCTCTCTGTCTCCATTTAGTGTGTAAGGGCCATTTCTTTGAATATTGCGAGGAAACAAAATACATATCAGTGACGTTACATTCAAAAGTGAAGTGTCTTATGAACTGTTAATGGTGGTGCAACAGGGAATGTCCCTTTTCATAAAACCATTTAAAGTTCCTATATAAAAAAAAAAATCTACATTTTTTAAGAATGTATTTGTATTTTATTGTTGTCTTCTCTGCAGTTTATGTGAAAAATAAGCTGTGCTTACACGTAATGTGGGCTACTGTACTTGTTGTGTACTTTATTAAATTTGTATACACTGTGCGCCTGGAAGGCAGTTATTTTTTTTGACTGGTGACAACTACTAAAGTTGTCATGTTGTATGGAAGAGCGATGCATTTATGTCTTAAAAGTGCTTTTATGTGTTAATGACAGCACTAGTGATTCTACAAATGTGCCAACTTTAGCTGTTCACCGTGTACCAGCACATGTTATTTATTAGTATCTTAGAGCTACTTCTGATGAAAATACCAATCAACATTTTACACAGCTATTTATATTTAAGACGGTCCAATAAAAGCAGGCACTGTGGATTAGTGCAACCAACTGAAGATGCGTTACTTTGCTCTGTGTTTTTCCTTAAAGTATGCATCACTTCAACGGATACGCTTGTGCTATTTTCAAATTCAGCTGCCGTCACAAGTGCCGTCAGAGAAGATCTACAAGGTTTGCTCAAACATAAATGTGTCTGACAAGTGGTGACACTCGAATCTAACTTCAGCAGCGTATACAGGTTACAAGCAAGGTCTTTTGCAATGAATCCTTTGATTAGATAAAATTAAATTTTAATGATCCCCGTGGGGGAAAGTAGGTCAATGCCGCAGAAAAGAATTGAACAAATAGTGGATTAAAGGTTGTGGCGAGTGTATGCAAAAAAAAAAGAAGGAGAGAATTAAAATAAAAGCCTCTTTAGAAGGTTTTTGAAACACCGGCTTTTTACAGAGAGCATAAAAATGTCCATCATTCCAAGGCTGCCTCATTAGATTTGTGAGAGGGCATATTTGTTGTTTGTATGCACTGTGCCCTATTTACCATTCAATCAAATGCAGATAAGGTAGGTGTGGTGACAGACAGGTTATGGTCTGCAGGCATATTAGAACAACCCAAACTGCTCATTTTTATCCAAACAGAACCTGCTTTCCAAGCATGGCTGCCAATTATTCATGCAGGGACATAAACACGGCTGTGACTGGAGTAATATGATTTAGAAACCGCAAATATACTCTGCATCTGCTCGTATATATGATATGTTAAAATATATATGATAAGAAAACACATCTATCTGGAGAGCTAGATTACTAAACTGAGGGATGCAGGGAACGTTGGTATGTTTTCCGTTTTGCACCTGTGAAACAATCCTACAAAAGCCTCCTGTCTCTGTTTCACTTAGTTTAGTTTCTGCAACTGGAGAGACTGACTTTTGTACGCTGGCACAGTGAGTAGTTTGCGAATGCCTTGTTTTTCACGAGCGCCGGATAACAGAATCCTGTCATCTACTGAGAGCTGACTATAAGTACGACTCCCGTTTCTCCTCGGGGAAAACACATTAATTTGGATTTTGATTTGCATTTGTTTTGGTGCTGGTATTGACACAATTCCAGACCTAGATGTCTCATCTCAGCAGGCAGCTCTGATGAGCTCATCTGCATAAGTTGAAATACTCTTTGAGAGGGAGATTGCGTGGGTCACAGCGTCGCATCCTATTGAAATACAGACAGAAACATCGCATCATTTTATCTGTATCAGTCCCAGGGTTTCAGAACATGGAGGGATGAAGACAGGTGAGCAGAATGTCAAGTAGAAAGGGGTTGAACCATTTACTGCAACATTTACTCCTCCTATTTACCCTCACATCACTTGGGATGTAAAACAGGTTAAACTTCTACTTCTGCTGTAATTATGCAAAATGTCCTTTGAAGCAAGCCCCACTTAATTAGTACTATGCTATACAGTACAGCTTGACAAAAAGCGCAATGTTGTTGAGGGGATCTGAATGCAGATTAAGGACTAGCATGGGCTGTTGGATGAATATGACTTGTCTTTCAGATGATTACAGTCACAGTAAAAAGGAATTACAGACAATGAAAATGATCTGTGTAATACCTCCATTCTTCTACATTTTACATACATAAATGATCTATTCAGATGAAAATGGAATGAGCACTGTACCATTCAGTTGTGAAAAATTGACATGCTCACCCCGAGTACTTAAGCTTTTAATTCAATAATTCAATAACACAGGCGATTAAGAGCTTGTCTTCCACCTTCCCTAAATTCGTTGGGAGATGGTTCCACTTGGCTGGAAACCGTTAGTGGGGAAACAAATACCGAACACAAAACATAAGCAATATGTTTTTAATACAGTGTAGTTTTCATTTTAACTGAGGAGACGTCAGTGAGCATTGCACCCTTAGGGCAACATTTAAAACAACTGATTTCAGATTTCTCTTTGAACGTTTGTTGTACATGCAGCTAATCCAACTGAATTAGTTAAATCTGTGCTCCATTAGGTAACATAAATTAAACTCTACAGTCGTTTTTGAAGAAAGAAACCTACGTGCGCTTGAAACGCATGGTAACGCAGGAACTTTCTCCGTTTTTTTTTTTTTTTTTCATCAAGGCTGGAAACATTTTCACTAGACGACACGATCCAGAGATGACACTAAAAGGTTTTTCTGAAAGCAATTTGCAGGTGTTCTCAAGAGTGGATTAAAAGTATATCCTCAAGAAATTACTTTCTTATCAGAAGACAGTTTTGATGATAACGCTCTCAACACTTCCACGTAAGTTCAATGTAAAACTGGAGCCGTTTAGCTTCTTGCAGCTCAGTGACAGAGACCAGAGAGTTACAATGTCCAGTGGTAAAATCTGCCGACCAAGGTTCCCTCTAAGGCCAACTAATCACAAATTGTATCTCAATCTCACTATAAAGTAGAGATGGCACGTTTGGATTCAGCTCAGTTTACACTGGCATTTTACTTTTTTGTAATTTTTTTTATTATTTAGCCTCAGTCATGCAAGCAAGTTGTTTAACTATAGCTAACTATGTTAGCTAATCTAGCCTAGCTAGTTGTTCTAGTTTTAATTATCAACAGAAAGTCGTTCGTTCACTTAGTCATTTTATTATGGTCACTAAATGGTTGAGTAAATAGCAATATAGGACAACCAACCTATTATTATTAACCATTATTATTAGAAATAACCATTTATTATTTACAGGTCTCTCGTGTAAATGAGTCTTTGTGACTCAATGAGACTAACCTGTATAAATAAAGGGTGAGTGATGTTTTTTTAACGCTATTTAAACGCAGCATAACTCATAATTTTTGTGACATTTTTTCACAGTCAGGTGTTGTATAAATGCCAACAAGATGTTCTGGAAGACATGCCTGACTGTGGGATGATGGACAACATCATTCTGCTGGTTTTGGCTAAGAAAATGTAATTAACATCAACTGTCTCCACTGACATAAAAAAAATATTTACACATATTTGCTACACTTTTATTGCTGTACCTATTTAACACAAGGTGTTAACATATCACAACCTTCAACATAAAATAAATAGTACATTGATATTACCGGTACCTACAAAAATATGTTGAGACAGCACAACTATTTTTTGAGTTGTAGCATGTGTGTGAATCGTAAAAAAACAAGTTACAGCAATGTAAGATTTGATATGCAGCGTGTTTATATAGTGCATTTAATGTATCTTTAAAATGTTTCATATTCATACTCAACAAACATTTTAAATATAAGATCATAACACATTTTCTAGTAATTTCTCAAGGCCTGCAGCTCAGAAAAAGGAGAAGACAAGCCATGTCATACTGTATTAAAGATAACTATCTAAGTATTGACATTTTCAACAACTCTGAAAATCACAATAATGATCTCTGGACATTAGCGTTAGCCATGATTAGCCTGCTGTCTCGACTCACACTGCAATGCATTATGGTCTTTTTCCACCGATTTAGTGGAAAAACTTCTGCACACTATGTTTCTGTACAATGTGACCCGTTTGTAGGACACTATTCAATCAATCAACCTTTATTTATACAGGTTATTGGTGGACAAAAAATATTGCAGTTAAAATAAATAAATAAATAAAAATAAATAGCTTTTGGTTGACTATATATTGGACTGTACAGTGAAAGAGCGGGCAAACACAGCTTGAGGTTTTTTACAACTTAGCAACATCTTAAAAAGAAGAAATGAATGATTCTTAGCTATATGCCTATTATAATATCAAATTATTCTCGTTTGTTTCTGTAAAATCTAATTCACTTTGCTGTTCAAGGCCAAAACTTATGAATGTTAAACGTAAAACTGAAGCTGATTAGCTTTTTAATCACAGTGACAGTAAGACAGTGCTCTTATTGGACTAGGAATTTGGGAACATCTATTGTAACGCCCCAGATACTTGTGACTTTAAAAACAATATGGTTGCTTTGCACACAAAAAGCTGTGATTGCTTTAATTGTTTATTTATTTTCAATTTTCACTTAGGTTAATTTGTATATCATTAAATCAGTCATATTGAGTGTTGCACTACCTCAATTAGGATTTTTTTTTTTTTTGCTACAGTGATTTAATGCACAAAATGTACAGAAAAGCATCGATATTCACATG